CCTCCTTTTGTTGTCTTGCTTTGAAGCCAAGCCACTGAATTCCCTCCTGTCTCCTTTGTGCAGCCACTAGTCCTTCAGCGCTGCCCTTTCTAAGCAAGGCGGCTCCTCCCTAGGGCTCAAGAACATCACAGATTCCTTTTTACTCTTTATCTCACTGCCTGACATGGCCATACCCCAAATGCAGTGTGTGCCTTTACAAATTATAATCCGATTTGAAAGCAATACTTATCAAAAGCAGTCGACAATGACTTACAGTTTATAATCCCCTGGATACCGTAAAAATAGCTGAAGCATTAGATACCTAACACTGTTTAAATTGTTCCAGAATGTAATGCTACAATCTGTTGAGGGCATTTTTTTTTCTGGGGGGAAAAGGCATAGTAGGGCTCAAAGCCTTATGTGGACATTGCTCCCCCCATTTTTTTTTGTAAAAATATGATAATTTGGGAGCCACTATATATCAGATTCCTGCTATAAGAGCTGTCTTTCTCTGAGGCAAATGCCATGTTACATTAAAATGTGTGCTACAAATCCTGTCTTTTCTTTAAAATAAATTAAAGCCTTGGATGCCTGTGATTCTGAACAGAGGAGGGAAGTGGGAAGGGTTGTATTTAACCCCTTCCCTTTTCCAAATCACACTATACAAGCTACTTTTCCAGCCACAGAACTCTAGAGGCATGTTTACCCTTCAAAATACACAGCTGGAACCCCACCAGGGAAAAGCAGCCACTAGCAACAATTTTAGGAATGGGTCACAGCTCAGGGATAGAGCACATGTCTAAAATGTAAATAGTTCCAGGTTCAGTTTCGAAGCATCACCAGCTTGGACCCAGTTTGAAACTCAGGAAAACTGCTTCCAGTCGTGGTAGGCAGTTCAAAGGTCACTTCAAAGGACCACTGGTCCAACTCACTTTAAGTCACCTTCCTGTGTTCTCTGAGAGTGAAAGAATGCCCACCTGGGAAAAAGCTGAGCACCCTCTGCTCAGAATTGCAGCCTCTTGGGTCTGCTATTTATTTTTAAATCACTGGGGCTTCGTTACATGTGCTTGCATATATCATGGAATTTGTCCCTAAGGTGACATCTTAAGGACCGTGGAGTTGTTTCAGCATTTATCTAACGTGCTATTAACTTTTTTTTAAGTTACAAAAGTACTGTTATGGAGCTTGTGTTGTTGACATCAGTGCTCCCACCCCCCAAAAAATGTTTAGGGGTACTCTCATTTTGACTCCAGAAAACCACCATTTTGTAGTTCAAATAGGGAAGAATAAATACAGTAAATGGACAAAAGTACAAAGATTCACAAAATGTTTAGGGGTATGCGTATCCCTCCAGAAAAAAAGCACTGGTTGACATCATGGGAACCAGCCAAGGGGGAACCCTCTACAGTAGACACTTCTCTTATTCCAAACAAACGATTCTCCAAACCACAAATCTGTTTCCCCCTGCAATTCTTCTCAAGACACACTTTTATTTTGCTGTCTGGTGGGCAGTTATGACATGTGAGGTGGGCTACCACCTCTCTGCTGCTCTTCTGGCTATGGTGCCTGCTGCTCATGAAGACCAGGATGGGGCAGGGCAGGGGGCTGATGAGGATGGGAGACACAACGGATTGGCAGTGGGCACATACATGTGTAAACTTGTGCCTCCATTTCATTCAGGTTTCGGGCCTAATTTTGCCATGGAACCTTTGTTGAATACCCCGTAGCCAACATGGTGCACTTTTGTAGTACCAGCCTTGTACCTGATGTTGCTCAAGAATTCTCAGAAACAAGAACAATAATTGGCGCAGTTTTGAAAGGTTCAGTACACCATCTTGATTCAAAATGGCACCCAATTGTATCCAAACATAGGGGGGAAAGTATCTGCTGCTTGAAGTTCATTATGCCGAAGTTCATTATATCTTAAGAGGTATCCAAATGCACAGGGAACAAACAACTTGCCCAAATATATTGTAGAGAGGGGACATTCTAGGGTGACAAACTTCCTTCCAGGGCCCCCAAAATATTCCCTGAAAAAGGTTTAGGAATAATAGCCTTTCCCATGACTTTTTGCAGCCATTGTACTACTTAAGGCACCATTCCCCCTTCTCCCTCTGATTTAGAGTTTCTTTCTCCAAGGCTACATGGTCTCAACCATTCAGGGTCTTTATCGTAAACACAATAATGCCACAACGCTAGCCAGCCAGTGTGACTTGATGACACGAGGGCAAATGCATTATCATTGGCTCTACACTGAATGTGTGAACATATTTGCCCTCTTTTGGAGAAAATTCATAATATTATCTGAAAGGTGAAGATTCTTTTCACTGCTGATTTCCTCCTCCTTTCAGCTCAGCTGTAGCTTTCGTGTGCCTCTGTTGCTTTTTATGCACTGTTTTCAGCTGCTAAGATTGCTGGCTTTGAAATTGGGTAAGTAAATAAATACATTTGTCTGTGTAAAATGTCTACTATCGCTGCTGGAGAAGCAAACCAAGTAAGGTAGCTCTTCTCATTGAAACAATGTCTGCAGGCAAAAGCTTACCAGTCAGCACAGGTTCCCATTATCATTTCCCTCTATGAACCTGATGGGAGCTACATAAACAAATAGCAGGATGGAAAGTTTGCCGAGTACTTGCCATCAGACAGTGTCTACATTTCCTAGCCCCCAGGCTGTCTTGCTGACATGAATATCTCAGACATATTGGAGAGATATTTTTTCCCTTTCTCGGAGTTAAACATAGATGAGTAATTCTTACAGGCTTTAAAAATAGCCCAGGCATCCAAGTACCATCTGCACAAATAACATGGCTGGAACAATTGTGTCTTGGCATTGCTTTGCCTCCTTTCAAAACGCTCGTCCTTTCAGCAATTTGCACTTGCGGTTAACAACCATTAGGAACAATGTTATTGCAGATGATGGGGCAGATTAAATTAGTCCCGTGTGCCATATGCCAGGTCCAAAGTATGAGAAAGTGCCACTCTAACAGCCACGGTGGCTGTATATTTTCAATCCCTGTATATCCAAGTGTGGTTTTGCCTCTCATTGTTGAGTTGAAAAACAGACAAGGCTGTCCCCCAATTTTTGTTGCCAGAAACGAAAGACAAGGTGATAGATGTTGCTCATTCCATGTACAGAAACTGAACGCACCAACAGTTAAGAACATAGGACGTTGTCTTACGCTGAATCAGAACCATTGGTCCATTGAGCTCAGCATACCCTCCAGCATTTCTCTGATGGAAATAGGGGTGTCTCATTCCATTATTATTATTATTATTATTATTATTATTCACTGCCTATCTGACTAGGTTGCCCCAGCCACTCTGGGTGACTTCCAACATATATAAAAAACATAATAAAACATTAAACATTAAAAAAAAACCTTCCATATGCAGGGCTGCCTTCAGATATCTTCTTAAGGTTGTATAGTTACTTATCTCGGGGGTTACATAACTCCACACCTTCCAACATTTCTCCTATGAACATAGGGACGTCCCAAGGAAACATTCTGGGATCAAATCAGAAACGAGGATGGCTTCTGTTAATCTGAGACAGCCCCTGGAAAATAGGGGCACTTGGAGGGTCTGGCTCAGTATTGTCTGACCTGACCAGAAACAGCTCTCTAGGATGTCAGACAGGGATTAAGCCCGGGAGCTTCTGCATGCAAGGCAGACACTTTGCCACCAAACTTTGGCCCTGTCCCCCAATCTTGTTTCAACACTGGCAGTGAGATTATTGATATTAATTAGTTAGATGTATATCCTGCCCTTTTTCCTGTAATGCCCTACTCTGCATCAGAGAAGGATCTAGGCTAATTTAGGGGGCCTGGGGCAGATGGTGTAGCATGCACAATTCTGTCTTCCAATTGAGGGGTCTAGGCAGGGGGCCTAGGTGGAACAGAGATTGCTGCCGGAGGTGGTCTCCTCTGCCTAACAGTAGAGCCGGCCTTGAATTAGCCTGCTGAGTAAAAAAATAGGCATAGCAAGAACGATATCCCAGACACCCATCAAGCTAGGGTATCCCAGAATCTGTTGAGACCAAGCTGTGCTATGTAAGATTTGGGAATGAATGAATTTGGCTGCTTTATACTGGAGTCTGCTTTTTAAATGTGTGTCTTTCTGTATGGTGAAATTATTAAGGTCCACTACAGTTTTTATTCTGTTTGAGGTTGATGTTGCTTTAATTTCTAAAAATTGCTTTGAGTTACCTTTTAAAAAAAGTGACTAATAAGTGCAATTAATAATAAGTATATCCTGACCAGCAAGGCTTTTTGAAACCCAATTTTCATATTTTGCTCACCTGCATCTGAAAAGAGTAGATCACACATCAGGAGAAACATATAATGCCCCTCTGGGCAGAGACAACAACTGAGTGGTCGACTATGAACTCCACATGTCAAAGGTCCCGTATTAAATCCCTAGCACCTCCACTTAAAACTAACAAGCAACAAGAAAGACCTCTGCCGAGACCATCGAGAAATGCTGCCCATTCAAGTAGATTATTCTGGGCTAGCTGGGCAGATAATCTGACCTGGTGTGAGACAGCTTCCTAATCACTACATTAGGCTGCAGCACATCTGAGTCTGTGAGTAATTGTGGGGTCTCTGGTTGTGATGGACATAGAGCCGTCCCCAATGCTCCCTGGCTCCGAGAAGCCCTGCAATAGGGCAGACAGTTTAATTTGTATCTGTCGGTGTAACCTTTTGAAATCTGATAGTTATGCATACCACTAACCCACTTTCCCACCCAACCATAACAATCCATCTGTTGTTGATGCCTGTGAGATGGGCAGTATAAGGAGGCAGAAGGGTGGGAAAGCCGTATCTGGGCTGGAGACTACTTCAGATGACATGTAAGGTGGAATGGAAGCTGGAGGTAGGCTGGACTCATGTGCACTCGTTTGAAGGACCTCACAGAGCCAAAACTCCAGCCCCGGTGCACCCTCCCCACAGAACCACAAGGTATCCCTGAGTGCAGGCTGCTACTTTCCCAACCTCGCGCTGTCACTCTCTTCTCCTTTGCTATCCCGGGGATCGGGAGGCAGGGGGCTGCCGGAGCTCTGCATGCTCTCCCCGGTGAGAGCTCAGCAAGGCATGGAGAAGGGGATCACTGATGCTGCAGTTGCTGGAGCCGTGGAGGCTGGGGGTTTTCTTTGGGCTTGGTCGCTCAGCTGAGCAGCTGCACTACAAGATCACTCCCCAGCGCCGGGGAGAGCATGCAGAGCTCTGGCAGCCCCCAGGGCCACCCCCTGCCTCCCGATCCCCAGGAGAGTGAAGGAGAAGAGAGCGACGGCGCAAGGTTGGGAGAAGATGGGGAAGAGCAGGCTGGACTTGGGGATACCTCGCGACTCTCATTCCGTGGGGAGGGAGCACCGGGGCTGGAGTTTGGTGGAGCGCGACCAAGGCAGTTAAAGTCCCATGATGAGAAATCCCGACTGGAAGGGATCCAAATGGTCCACATCCTCCAGGCATGCCTGGAGTTGTTCAGCAACCACCCTCTCAGTCACCTTGCCCAAGAATGGAAGATTTGAGACTGGGCGATAGTTGGTCATACTGGCCGGCTCTAAAGATTTTTTTAAAGAAGCGATTTAATGACCGCCTCTTTCAGCGGCGTGGGAAGGCTCCCTCACAGATGAAAGCATTCACCACCCCGCAGAGTCCATCTCCCAGCCCTTCCCGGCTTGCTTTTATTAGCCAGGATGGGCAAGGATCAAGGAGACAGGTGGTTGTTTTCACTCGTCCAAGCAGCCTGTCCACATCCTCGGAGGTAACAGATTGGAATTGATTACATGCAACTCGACTAGACAGGACTCTAGCTCTCCCCCGCCCTGGCCTTGTTCCCATGTTTTTCTGAATCTGAGTGACTTTATCTGCAAAAAACTTTGCAAAATAATTGCAGGAGATTTTGGAGTCTTTACCAGGCCCCAATGTCAAAGGTGGTTCCGTTAAATTGCGAACCACCTGAAAGAGTCTCCTGCTGCTACTTTCTGCAGATGCAATAGAGGCGGTGAAAAAGATCCTCTTTACCATTGCTATCGCCACTTGGTAGGCTTGACATTGAGCTCTAACCCATGTCCAATCTGATTCAAAATGAGTTTTCCACCACTGGCGCTCTAGCCGTCTCAGTGATTGTTTCATCGCCCTCAACTCCAGGGAAAACCATGGGGCTGTCCGGGCTTCATGCAATCGGAGAGGGCACTTCAGAGCCAGACAGTCGATGTTGTTGTTTATTCATTTAGTCATGTCTGACTCTTTGTGGCCAGAGCACGCTAGGCACTCCGCATTCCAGCGGACCACCAGAGAATCAGCTGAAAGGCCATCAACATGGGATAAAGCATCCCTTTCACTCTCTGGAAACCATTTGTATCCATTAAGTGGCAGGGGCAGACCATCCGAATTGGTCCCACCTCCCTGAAGAGGGGAAGGGTCACAGAGGAGTCCAGTTGCACCAGGAAGTGATCTGACTATGGCACTTCTTTTGTTTCACTTTTACTGAATGTCGGATCACCCACGTCACTAGAGGTGAACACCAGGTCTAAGGCATGTCCATGACTATGAGTTGGGCCAAACTTATTCAGGGACAGCCCCATGGAGGCCATGCTTTCCATGAAGTCCTGAGCGGCCCCTTGTAAGGTTGTGTTGGCATGGATGTTAAAATCCCCTAGGACAACCAAACTAGGTGTCTCCAGGAGAACATCTGCTATGACCTGAAGCAGCTCGGGCAGATAATCCTTGGTACAGCGGGGAGGTCGGTACACCAAAAGGAATCCTGAACTGTCCCTATTGCCCAACTTCCAGAACATGCACTCAGAGAACTGTGTCTTCCCAACAGGACGTAAACCAGTGACTTCCTAAAAAATCACTGCAAACCCCCCCCCGCCTCGTCCATATGACCTGGGTTGCTGTGTGTACGAGAAACCTGGTGGACAAGCAGCAGCAAGGACAAGCCCATCTGCTTCATCCAACCAAGTCTCCATCACACACGCCAGGTTAAGTCCTCTATCCACGATCAAGTCGTGGATGGCAGTGGTCTTATGAATCATTGACCTGGCATTGCACAGCAACACCTTCAGGTCATGTGGGTCTCCCTTGTTGATTCCAGTATCCACCCAGTAAAGACCAGACCCGGAGGCAGGGATAGTCTTCAAACAACGACTAAACCTGCCTCCTCGGTAATGTCATGGTCTAGTCTTCTATTATTTTAACCACTCATGAGCAGTAAATGACCATATGCCCTTCCACATAATCATTTCCCTTGTCAACATGGACATTCTTTCTGTCTCCTCTGTGTGCTGTTAGCACTTCATAGCCATAAATGATAAAGAATAGCATGTTCCTCAAAACAGTCTCCAAAAGGACACAGTGGAAAAAAGCCACTGCTGGAGACACGTAGTTGGAGAATGAATGGAAAATGTACTGGAGGGAGCAATTGCATGCTGTCATTGGGAATGAAGTGCCGGTGTTCTAAATTTGGCTGGACGATGTCAGGTGGAGAAGACAAGAGGGGATTAGTGGTTGCTCTGTACTCTTCTTTTAGTCTGCTTATGTAGAGCTGGAGGCAGCCCAAATTGGCCTGAGGTGAAATAACCTTAACAACCTCCACCATTTATAGAGCAACATCAATGTGCACAACGCTTTATAGAGAAACGACAAAGAGCGAGGTGGAAAGTGAGGATCATGGGGTGATAATCCATAGAAGAGGACCACCATGTTTTCAACTCACCTACATATACTTTGTTTCAATAGGAGTTGAGGTCCAAGGGGTTGCGCCAGTCTTCATGGAAGAGGGGCTTTTGGCGTGGATGTGATAGAAGAGAGATTGGTGGCAGCAGGCAGGTACTCTGAGACAGAGAGCCCTAGGCAAAAGGAGAAACAAGACAGGAGGAGTGGAGTTATCTATGGAAGCAGGGAAGCATACTTAGAGGAATGACCATAGTTCGGTAGTAGAGCATGTGAGAGTTTCCAGGTTCAGTTCCTTGGTATTGCAAGGTAGAGCTTGGAATCTGTTGTCTGAAACCCTGGAGAGCTGATGCCAGCCAGTGCACAAAGCACTGAGCTAGATGAATCATTGGTCTGACTCAGTAGAAGACAATCTCCTATGATTCACGTTGGCATGTTGCGTTTGTGTCAATATCTATTTAAAAAGTTTTGTTACTTAAGAACAAAAGAAACACCCTTCTTGATCAGACCAGAGATCCATCAAGTTCAGCGTCCTCTTCTCACGGTGGCCAATCATATACCTACAGAGAGCTAAGAAGCAGGAGATGTAAATGTGGATTAAGGATGGGTCTGGCTAGCATTCTCACATGCAGAAAAAGCATTGAATACTGCTGCTCCCCCTCTAAAACCAAAACAAAAAACACCACCAACCAGGAATGTAAGATGAGCCTGCTAGATTAGGCCAAAGACCCATATTTCCACCATTCTGTTCTTACAATGGCCAGCCAGATGCTGATCTGAAGCCCACAAAGTGGTATAGAGTGGGGGGGCACAGGGACAGTTGCCCCCAGCACAAAATTGTTCGGGGCACAAAATTTCAGCACCTGGTTCTGCCTCAGTACAACTGTGTGCTTCCAGCACTGGGCTCCGTTGAAAACGTCTTCTCCATGCTAACTAGGAAGTTACCTCTCCAGACAACGGAATGACTCTTCTTTTCTTATCTCTGTGGCTGCAATCTCCTGGGTGATATGGATGCAGTTAGGCAGTTGAATGTGGCATGCGTACTTTGTCTGTTTCCTTCCTTCCCCTTCCCCCTCTGTGCAGCCCCGGGAGCTGGCAACCTACACTATGCCACTGGGAGGACCTGAGCATAACTGCACTCTCTTCACTTGTGCTTCCCAAGAACTGGAAAACTATTGCCGATGCTGGGGATGTGATGATCAACCTTTCCTAGGCATAGGGACATTTAGTGTGGCAGATCTGCCCCTGCCCTACCTTTAGAGGTTCTGCAGGAATCTCCCCCTGCCTTCTTTCAAATGACTCCTGAATACTGTACTGTTTAGCTAGCCCTGCAGATTTATTTTTTTCTTTTTAACCAAGCATAAGATCATTGGGCTTGCTGGATCAGAAGCATCTAGCCCAGCATCCTGTTCCACAGTGGTCACCCAGATGCCTGTAGAAAACCCTGGAGCAGGGCCAGAGCACAAGAGCACTCTTTCCTCTCATGTGGTTTCTAGAAGCATTGCTCCCTTTAATTGCTGAGCTACCTGTATCTTAGAATCATAGAATCATAGAATCATAGAATCATAGAGTTGGAAGAGACCACAAGGGCCATCGAGTCCAACCCCCTGCCAAGCAGGAAACACCATCAGAGCACTCTGCTGGTGTTTAATTGATATATTTTTTAAAAAAATAATCTTTATTAATTTAAATTACACACCTATACAAAGAATTTACAATCTCATACTACAAAAAGAAAATCAAAGAAAAAACAATTAAGAAAAAAGAAAAAAAAGAAAGAAGAAAAAGCAGAACTTAATCTTCCTAATTAATACTTAAATAAACACTTAAATAAAAAAGACTTCTGACAAAACGAGTCTTCCAATCATTCTCATTGTACTGTTTATACTGTCATTGTTTTCCCCACACAGTTTTATATTCTTTAATATTGTTCCCATCTACTCCACAAACGGTATTTGTTGTGTTTACAAGTATCACTCAAGTTCTACTAATATGGTGTGGTTGGTACAATATGATCTTATAGAATCCTTAAATATTCTCCATTCTCCAAATATTTTCTGGTTCAATACTCCTCTAACTCTTCCCGTCAGTTTTGCTAGTTGTAAATATTCTAACATGAGTATCTGCCAATTTTTTTTATTTTTAATTGTGCACTGTGGATCTGTATAGGCTGATTTTATTATATATATATTTTAATATTGCTATTGATATATTTTATGAAAAGAGCAGATTTTAAATTTGTCACATAAATAAATATTACATAATGCTATTTGCCTGTCTAGTTCACTGTTGTCCACTCAAACTGGCAGCAGGTCTGGCAAAGATCTTTCACTACCTGTAGTCCAATGCAGTAAGAAGGTCCATTTAACTTCTATGATTTTTTTAATAAGCGTTTGGAATGTGCAAGCTTCATGTGCGTGTCTGAGGCTGCTCCTTCCTTCCTTCCAGATGCAGGCTCCCTCTCAAAGCTCCTGATGAGCAAGCAAATGAAATAACATTACTTGAAAACATTGCAGGCCATAATTTTAATAAATGTCGGCTCCTGTCATTGTGTTCCTCAGTATTTATCCTTTTATATGCTGCCAACCG